TTACCAACTTAATAAACAATTAGCGAACAAGCTCCAGTCTTTTATTCTAATTTGATCAGTTTCGACCAGGTGCCCTCGATGTTTGGCTTGGCAATATCTCACAGCTAAACAACTTTGTAGTATTATTTTTAGTAAAAGTAAAGGTCAATCCATTGAATGAATAAATTCAAATGATATATCGAGGTAAAATTCCCCTATTGCACACTGCAAGATTTCATCCCTATTAATTAGTCCAGAATGTGCCGATTAATGGTTAAGTCTACAAAAAACTACCTGTAAAATGTGTATGTGTGTCAATTTGTAGGCTGATGCAATTCATTAAATGGCTATTTTCGTTTGGGTATATTTTTTTCAATTAACAAACAATTGGATGAATGAATATTTGTACAATTTTTAAGTTGTTTCGAACGCTGCGAGTCCTATACTGGATTATCTCTTAACGTATTGGAAGTAAGCAGTAGTCGATATTTACCACGTATGAATTAATTTATTTCAACCGATTTCGTTCTGCAATAAAATTGAGGATCGTTCTTAGAAAACTCAAAACATAAACAAAGACAGTACATTGTAAGTTTAAGTAACAATCAAGCTTATAGAGCTGAAACTAATCATCAATTTTATAGAAAACCAAAATAGACCAGTCAGTTTAGAAGATTTAAGCCTAAAAATCATACTTTGGTTCAAACATGTTTCCAATGACCAATGAATTACTATAATCCTACTAACTACCATTATGGGGATGCTTTTTTAAATCATGTGATAGAACGAAATATTTAACAGTTAGTGAGCTACCAACGGTCATTTCAGAAAAGTTTGAATTGACCAGACGAGGTACCGTTCAAAACTACATTTCAAACATCAATCAAGAGCAATGTTATCGACAGAACTTACTTGTGGTCAAGTAGAACCGGACTGAAGCACTAAGCACAGCAAAACAAATATGACTAAATATTCAACATATTGCATCAAATTTGCACCATGTGGGTGTTGTGTATTTAATGAAGGAACACACCCATTCAACAAGAAGTTTATTAACAGACTAACATACAAAGCAAGGAACACTTGTCATGCAACTCAGGGTACTACAAA